TTTAGCAAGAAGAAGAATCTTTTTACCAGCAAATTGGACTTAAATTTGAGGAAGAAACTAGTGAAATGCTACATTTGGAGCATAGCTCTGTATGGGGCTGAAACATGGACACTTAGGGCAGTAGATCAGAAATATCTGGAAAGTTTCAAAATGTGGTGTTGGAGAAGGATGGAGAAGATCAGTTGGACCGATTATGTGAGAAATGAAGGAGTGTTAATTAGAGTCAGTGAACAGAGGAATATCCTACATGAAATAAGAAAATGGAAGGCTAATTGGATTGGTCATGTTTTACGCAGAAACTGCCTTCTAAAAGAAGTTACTGAAGGAAAGATAGAGGGGCAGATAGAAGTGACAAGAAGACGAGGAAGAAGACGTAAGAAGATGCTGGATGACCTTGGGGACAGAAGAGGATACTATAATTTGAAGGAGAAAGCTCTAGATCGCATTAAGTGGAGTTTTGGAAAAGACTGTGGACCTGTTGTCTGACAGATTACTGATGGTGATGATGACGATGATGATGATGATTTAATCATTATTGTGTTTTATTTATTTTAAAAGTCATTCAACTACAGTGGCCCATACTCTCTGATATTTTCACCAGTTATGAAATACATTTGCTCACGTGGTGTCGTCTGTATTATGACACTGTGTTTTCTTGTAATATTGGTGGTTACCAATGATTTGGAGGAAGAGGGTTCATCTTGAATATTCAACGCTGAGGATGGAAGTAGCATGTTTCGCCGAAACACTGGGACCAGCCTTCCAGATTACAATGTGGTGTAACACAGATATCACAGAATGAATCTTCATTGCCGTGAAAACCTCAATCCATACAAATACATACGTCTGTTTCTCATTACAACATATTCATCATTTTAAGGCCAATTGAATATTTAACCTTTATGAGCCAAAGGACACCGTATGGGGACCTTTAAAGTAAAGCCAAGTGGTCGAAAGACACCGTATGGTTATGCGCAGTCCACTGGTGCGCGCAGTATTTTAAAATCTAATTTTAAGATAGAAATTTTTGTTCTACTTACATAATTTTTGGACACCAGCTTTATAAGTAGACTGTCTTCCCTCCTGAATGAATGTTGCATGTCACTGAATGCAGAGTCCAACGTCGCAATTCATACACTTTGTCCGTAATTAACTCTGTTTTCCACGCGAAGTGCACACAAGCAAATATCAGTCTCGTATTAGCAGGAAGTAGGTCAGTGATGGCGAGTGGTCTCCTGTATTCGTAATGCTTATAAAACATGGCAATTTCAGCTTTGCACCATGGCCCCTTTTCGCATTGAAAAAGCCGAAATTGAGAAGCCACTCGTAAATCAAACCATTCAGAAGACTGAAAGCACGTAGAAGAAAGGGGCCATGTGCAGGGGCTTCCTACATTATTTTTGGACACCAGCTTTATAAGTAGACTGTCTTCCCTCCTGCATCATCTAACTGAATTTTTCATGTAATTGTATGCAGAGTTCGATGTCACAATTCATGCACTTTGTCCATATGTAACTCTGTTTTCCATGCGAAGCGCACACACACAACATCTGTCTCGTATTAGTAGGAAGTCAGCCAATGTTGCCGATTTGCCTTCTCTAATCATAACGCTTATAAAACATCGCAATTTCAACTATCCCCCATGGCCCCATTTCGCATGGAAAAAGGCGAAGTTAATAGGCAGCTGCTAAATGTCATCGATTTAGAATGTGGTACATAAGACTGAAAGTATGTAGAACAAGGGGCCAAGTGCGTGCCTTTCTAAGAATCTTAACAGTACTTCTTGTGTGGCAGATACATGTATACACAGACAGAGTCTCTGAGGGATGTGACCTCACTCCTGTTCACTCCTGTATACAGAACCCTTGGAGTGCTATAAAAGCATAAACTTTTCCTCTCCTCTTGATAGATAAGACACAGTCAGACAGTGTGTCATCAGCATGCATTTATACTGCAGAAACTGACTGCATATTTGTGGACAGACGCTTAAAATTGGGAAAAAAAAATTTTTTGGGAATCAGTGTTAACAATTTTTACAGATTCTAAAATCTGTAAATTACAATATCTGATTCTATATTCTTTCTAGATAAAAGCAGTGTTTATTTCGTTTGTTTATCACAAAAATTGTAGAAATCACAGCATTTTGAGTAACATGATTACAATTTTTATTACTCTACAATGGCAGGCATTTAAATTAACTCTGTCCCACTGCCACTACCAGAATTTAAATGGCCCGCCTCTTAATGGTTAATTGGGCTTCATAGAGTACTCGCATAACATTATTCTGCAAATTGTTTCAGTGCTTCAAGATCTGCGACCTTGATGTTCGAGGTTATCACAGGAGTATGTGGAGACTGCACATAAAGGGCAGTGAATTGCTTGTCGTTGGCGTGCCATACTCAGAGTATTCGTAAGTAAACTTCTAGAAACACAAATATGAATACTGTAGTGCTAATAAAAGTCTCAGTGAAATAATAAGGCCTTTTGAGGGTCCATCATCATCATCATATCCTAATGTAGATTGTTACATTGTCATCAGAAGGAAACTAGTTTCTTTTTTCAGCACACAGTTGGAACCTGAATCATGTTATTGGAGATCTCATT